TGCAAGGTCACCGACTTGCAAGGTCACCGACTTGCAAGGTCGCCGACTTGTAAGGTTGCCGACTTGGGAGGTCGCCGGCTTGGGAGGTCGCAGACTTCAAGAAGTCGGCGCCGACGTAGAAGGGGCGTCGACTTGGTGACGCTGACTTCGGGTAGCCGACTTGGGTGGTCGGCTGACGACTGTGCTGGTCGACGTGGAGCTGGTCGACCAGGAGTGACGTCGACCTGGAGCTGGTCGACCAGGGGTGTGGTCGACCTGGTGAGGTCGACTGGAGGTGGCCGTCGACTTGGGAGGTCGACGGGCACATACAGGAGCACCTGGTTGACGTGGTTGCCCGGTCGACCAGGTTACCTGGGTGACGAGGTTCTGCGGAAGAGTGCGACGGTCGCCCAGGCAAAGTTGGCGAGTCCGACCTCGGTGGTGGTATCCCGAGGTCGACGTGGCTGATTAGATGCAGTCGTCAGCACCAGGTTGACTTGGTGTGTGCGCTGTGCAGGTGACAAGGCTCCGCACGCCAATCATCTGCGAGCACCTGCGAAGCTGGTGCGATGTTGTTCTGCAGGAGCAACGCTGGCACGCCGTCAACCTGCAACGTTGGCACGCCGTCGACTTTGCACTGCTGGAGCGCGGTCGACCAAGTCGTGCTGGAACGCGGTCGACCATGCTGTGCTGGCAGTCGACCGACCTGAATGCTAGCTCTGATGTAGTCTAGTCATGCCAACTTCATTGTACCATTGTTGTCAACTTTCTTAGTGAAACTCTTGCCAAAATTGCCCCGTGAACTAGCAAGCAGTGTGAGCACTAGGAAAACGACTAAGGACCAACTAACGCAGAGATCACACGAGCACCCGTGCCTAGCCCCGTAGTCTAGCTCCCGTTGCGGTAGTTATCTCCGCAGTCAGCTGGCCGTGACGGCGGCATCGCACTGACCTACGGCAACTTCAAATTCACGCTCTACCGAAGCTGCTGAGAAGTGGGCATGGCCTAATAACGTGCACGGAGTCGATTGAGCCACAGCTCGAGATTGGTTGACTCAAGAAGTTCGTCGACAGCGATATGGTGACGTCGGATGAGGACGACTTCGGCATCAAGGCGGGAATTCTCACCGCTCAGCTACTGACTTTCATGGTCATGTTGAGGTAGTGGTCGCCAATGGTGCAGGTAACGCTAAAGCCTTGCCGACTTCAGGTGGACGCCGGCTTCCAAGCCTTAGGATTGGAAAGTAGGAGTTGGCGACGAAGTACTGCAACCATTCTCGACGGATTGTAGCCGACCTGCTGATGGCCGTTGTCAACTACTCGGTGGCGTCCTACGTCTCCCGTGTCATCAAGGGCTTCCCCATGGGCTACAACATCATGCGTCGGATGATGATGCCCGCGGCATGCGCGCACAGCTCAACGATGACTCCTTGGCGAGCGATATCATTTAAGACGAGTTTTGCAAGAGTCTGGACGGGCCACAGAGCTCCTCAAGGAGGCCAACTACGTCGCTCCAATGAAGCAAGGATGCCAGCAGGGACAGCGTGGGAAGTCGGGCGGAGGGGACGAGCTGCTGTTTGCTATTAGCCAGACCTCACGCTGACATGCGTTTGAGGCTGCATGGTACAGTCCATGGTCCCGGGGCATCAGCGCGGTGGAGATTTAGTGCCAAAGGCACGTTGGGGGCTTCACGTTGGTGTCTTGACGGAGAGCAAGGGCTGGGAGGTGCTCGACCTAACGGATAACCGCATCGTCGCCACCGTGGAAGCCATGTTCTACGAGACGATGTCGTTGGATGTAAGGAAGGAGGAGCATGGGTTGGCGCCGGCGCGGACTCAAGTCCCCCCACCAACGAACGCCGACAGCAACTCAGCTGCTCTCCGCCAAGGACAACGACCAGCATGTCTGCAAAGAATCAGTCGACAGGGGAGCTGACGACAGAGGAGAATCTCTACGACTGCTCGTCAAGCGACATTGTGGAAGTTGTTGGTGAAAACGGCGACAATGAAGGGGAGCTGTCGACGGGGGAGCACTCCAGCGACAACGACAAGCTGGCATAGTGACACACTACCCGCCCTACTTCGGCAACCCTTTTGAGCGGTGTAGCTACAACTGCTTAGCGTTCGCCTACATCACACTCCAGGACGATGCACAGGACGTCGTCAGCCTACCCGTGATTGACCCCAACATGCACGCCAACTTGGAACACCGTTGAGACATCTCGACCATGACGGTCAAGGAGGCATTGGCGAGCTAGATATTTTACTACGATAACTACACAGGTCGGGTGTGCAAGCTGCTGAAGAGCTTGTATGATCTCAAGTAGAGCCTGCTGTTGTGGTACTCGACGTCTTGTTCACTGGCACTGGCTGGAGCAAGATCGAGTTTGACGAGGCCCTCTACTTCAAGGTCGGCGACGACGATGTGGTGTGCTGGGTGCTCGTCTATTTCAACAACCGTCTCGCCACCAGCAGCAACTTTGCGATGTTGAAGGAGTTGCGGGAGTTGCTGGAGGGCGCTTTTGAGCTACGCGAGCACTTCGCCGTCGAGAAGTACGTGGGGCTGGAGATCGTGCGTGACAAACCTGCATGCAAGCAATGGCTCCACCAGTAGTCCTACGTCGACAAGCTGTGTAGGCGCTTTGTCGACGATGAGCAGACTAGTCGACGTCCGAAGACGCCGGTCTCCGTCGACGCCTACGTCGAGAAGCCTTTCATCGACGAGGCCTGCAGTTGCCCAAGGAGGAGGAGTACCGACAGAAGGTCGGCTCGCTGCAGTTCGCCACCATGACAACTCCGCCCGACATCGCCTTCGCGTGTAGCAAGTAGGGTTCCGGCTTGACAATATGGAGCAACCAGCACTGTCGAGAGGTTCACCATTGCCTCGACTAATTGGCCGACACTCGCGATGCCGCCCTGGAGTTTTGTAGTGGGCTGGAGACTCTGCATCGGGTTGGCTACGCGGACGATGACGACGCCGGTGACAAGCAGACGCGCAACATCACAAACGGCTATGTTTTCATATTCAGTGGGTCCACTGTCTCCTGGAAGAGCCAGCCCATCAAGAGCCAGCACGGAGTCGAAATCTATCACGGCCACCAAAGCCGGCAAGGAGGCTCGCCAGCTTCCCTTCCTCCGCGCCGAATCCTAGCTTCTGGATTCTGGGACGCCGACCGTCGTCAACGTGGACAACTAGTCGGCCATCACGGTTGCTGAAGGCTTGGGGCTGAAGCGCAACCTCAAGCACATTGAGTGACGCTATGTCTGGCTGCAACAAGATGGCGAAGCGCAAGAACATTGAGGTACAGTACATCCCGACCACGAGCAGCCAGCAAATCTGCTCACGAAGGCGCTACACTTTCCAGCCTTCAACTGGTGCTCCGCCGCGGTTGGCCAAGTTCGTCTGGCCGACGTCGGCGACGGCGACGACGATGTGCAGCGGTAGGCGCCAAGTCCTTCTACATGGCTGGTGCGGTGAACGGCATGCTGGGTGTGCACGCCAACGAAATATCCCCTTGTGTGGGTGCCGAAGGGGAGTGGGTGGACCTTGTGTGTGGGTGCCCAAGCTTGAGCTGGGCAGGGGAGTTTTGACGAGAGTAGGCCCTGCTGCCCATGGTGATCGTGCTCGAGAAGAAGCTGGCGGCCATCTCCATGCGATCGGGAGATGATGTGAAGCCGGTCCTTGACAAGATCACATATCTGCTTGCTTGCTTTTGCTAGGTAGTGATCACTGTACTGTTGCTGTTCCATATATACCTCTGCATGTGAACTGGCCTTGTGGCCCTTTGCCTATGCTGGGAGTGTGTGGTGACGTTGTGATCCACCCTCAGCTTGCTTTGCTTCTCTTGACTGGTCTTGTGACCCCTTGTTCTCCCCCACTTTGCCTATGGGGGTGTGTCAAACTATATATATATTATAATTAGGTGTAGGCTGTAGTGGGGTAGCCAATGTGGGGTACAACCCCTTTAGGTTTTACTCTTGTACCAAACTCTATCGACACTTTACTCCAATTCTTCCTACTCCTCTAACACGAGCATCTGCTGCGGGGGTTAAACAGCAGGCGGGCACCTGCCGTGGGAGTCAACCACGGTGGTCCCAGCTGCGGCTCAGTGACTGCTGCTCGTCAGCTTGTGAGGGGGCCCCTTGCTGGTGTTCCCCAGCCTTGTGAGGGGGTTTTACTCGTGCACCCCTTCAGGGGGTGTTACGCACATGGCTTCCATTGGAGGCAGTTAGAGGGTGTGTTAGAGAATATGTTTTATATATTTTCATAAAACTGCCTGCTAGTGTAGCTACTGTGTAGTGTTACAGCTGTTGCATGCCTTTGCCTATGCCTATTTGTACTTCCATTTCTCTTAGTGAAGACCCTCTTCTTCCTCTCGCTACTCTCATGCTAACTAAACCCTAGGCTCCTAAACCCTAAACCCTTAGTTATGTTATTTGATATGGTACCAGACCTTACAACTCCAAGAGATTACAGTATCTTGGTTTGATACGCTGAAACCTTGTAAAGTAGAGATTGGTACGAGATGCATGCAATGTTGCATTAGCGAAAGGGAAGCTTCAGATTTGCACTAATGTTTCTGCACAACCAGCAGCATTCTGTATTTGGGCATAATCGTCCTCCTCCCCTTAACAGTTCGAATTTACCTCAGAGGTCTGATATGCAGTGAACTATGTTATTTAGGGATCATGTCAAAATGACGATGGCACGCAAATAAACTTCACTCCTACAGTTCCAGAGCAAGACCTGCCATTGTAGTCGTAAAACCGTGTGATTGCTGTTGAGGTAGGCCGGTCGTAGAAGCGGTAAGCAGCTGGGCACGCCATTGACGGCTGGACAGGCTTGGCCCTACCCTTTTTGCATAAACCCATCGTGAACGACCAATACTCTGCCCTGAGGCAAATCTGGATCATGGGATGGATGGGATGGAGGATCAAAGACACCAAAGTGATCAACAGGGAATGCACAACAAAGGCAAGGTTGATAAGGCACATACTTTCTCAGAAGCCCCGCAAAAAGCACCTACCTTTCATTTTTCCCCCCATCCCCAAGGTCGCTCCCCCCAGCCCTCACAATCCTCACCTGCACACCAATGTTAGTGCCGACAGCGGAGGCAGAGGAAGGGATGGTAGCAGAGCAAGTGAGGCCGGGATTGTTGCGATACAGCGCAGCCCATGCTTTCTCACTGGCACTGGCGCCCCCTTGTGAATTGCTGGTCCTTTGAATCAGCCGGTCGCACGTGTCTTGAGGTGTGAGCGTGCCGTATCGGACACACTCAGGCACGGTGAAGGCAAAGGTAGCATTGCGCTCGAGGCACACAGAACGGCCTGCCTTGATGGACTCGGAGCAGTCAAGGCCGGGGTTGAGCGCAGCGAGACTTGCCTCATTCAGGCTGAGCACTGGAGTGATGGATGCACAGGTGTCCCCCTGGATGGTTGGAGAGAAGCAGGCAAAGTGACACTTGGTGCTTGCGATGTGTGAGAAGGCCATGCTGAGGTCATGGTCCTGGGGTGTCCTGGACACCCATCCGGCCTCCAGCTCAGTGTTAGATGTGGGAAACACGTGCAGTTCGAGTGTGCAGCTGATTACGTGTACAACAAAAGTTTCAAGTGTAGGTCTAAAACCCCGAGGTTTTAGAGATTTCACGAATGATGTTTCGACAAGTAGTCGAGCAGATATTATATTAGCAAACTCATGTCAGCGGAGGGCATGCCAGGAACACGTGCTGATGCTGACGTGGTGTCCAAACGAATGGGTGTCCTGGACATCCCAGGACCACGATCTGAGTTGACCGTGCATGCTGTGGTGTGGGCAAGAAAGCAGCATGTCTCACATTGAGAGAGTAGAAGAAGGCAGTGCAGGGTGTGGCGGGAGTACCATCCAGCTGAAGGACACTGCCCTTGGGCAATGGCTGGTTGCAGTCGATGCCCTGCATTGGGAAACTCCACAAAGAATCTGAGGTTCGAACCAAACTCCACACAGAATCAGAGGTTCGAACCAAACTCCACACAGACAAGGCTTCCACTCCTCAGTGAGTCCTGGAGTGGAGAGTAAGTATGTTTTTCACAGTCTAGTACCCAATACCACATAGTCTCTGTTCCTTAAGAATGAACCGGCAGTGAAGTGATAACTCAGGGGTAAAGTGAAGCAAGATTCAACAGATGGAGTGATGTGAAAACAAGCTGATGTAAAATGTGGAATCGAAATGCTGAATGAAGGATTGTAACTCCCACCACCTCTTCCACCCACCGCGTTTTGGTCAGTGAAGTCAGTCAGTGAGAGGCCAACAAGTGGATGAACATCCGAACACAACCAGTTATCACCACTGACTGTCATTGTGGTGGCTGTGGTGTTGGCTGCAGGAAGAATGCGGAGTGAGACAGAGGCAAGGAAAGAGAGCGACGAATTGAAGTTTTGAAAGAAGCGGAATAAGATTGGAAGTTGCAAGCTTCAGAATGCAAGTGGTAGTTACCAGGAAAATTCACCAGCAAACAAGGCCAATGGACATATTCAAGCCACCTACCTGGATCGCAGGTGGGGAAGCCGTCAACAGTTGTGCTGGGAATGTGGTTGGGAGGGCAGATGCAGGAGTAGGAGCCCTTGCCATCGTTGATGCATGCTCCCACGTAGCAGGGATTCTTGAAGTATGACCCACACACGTCCACTGCCACACGTGTTCCGAGGTGGTGGATAGTAGCACAGAGTTAAGAAAACAGAAAATGAGGGGGAATATGGTTAGAGAAGAAGGGGGAAATGGTCTGCGCTGCACACTCCTAGCCAGATGCGTACCAGGCCTCAGGCCATTGCAGCTGAGGGACCTCTAACACAGATCGGACACAGGCAGGAGCATGAAGAGCACAGGGGCCCTAGGGGACTCTTGTTTCTCACCTCATTGTCCTCACTCTCTGTGGCACGCACCTGCATACCTCAGAAAACTTCTGCATGCTACAACAGCACGACATACTTCTGTGTAAGACCAGAATACACCCCCTCCTACTCACCCTTTGACTTGCCACTGATCTTACCATAAGCACAAGTGGAGCCAATTCCGTTTGCAACCTCCACAAAAGGCTGCACAGTGGACGTGGGAATATTGCAGGTGCAGTAGTTGCTGCTTGCTGCCGTCCCCTGGCACTGGAACCGGCCGCACGGGTTCATGCTGGGCTGCGAATCCCCATCGCCCTTGTAGCTGCTTTCTCCACAAGGGTCCCCTGGAACTGGAATGGAAGGCGTTAAGAGAAGACATGAGAATGGAGATTGGAGGAGTGTCGGGGAATCACTTCTTCCTTGCACCTGCCCTTCTTCTCATCTCCTCTGCCTCTCCTCTTCTTGCGTATGAACTCTCACCCCAAGGGTCCTCCCTGAGTGGTGTGTCACCCAGCCGCAAAAACTAACAACGTTCCACTACACGAAAGGATAACAAACGGAAAGCAACTAGAGGGTGTGTGTTTGCTGAACTTACCTTGCCCAGGCCTGAGTCGCACATTTACCAATGTGCGCCTCGGGCTTGGGCCTGGTTGCTCCAGATTGGTTCATTAGATTGCACCCCCTGGATGTTCCAGATCGGTTGCTCCAGATTGGTTCGTTAGGCTGCAGTAAAGAGCATGCTAGGTAATGAAGACAAGAAGCCATGGATGTGTCTCGAATACTCAAGTATTTGGCGATCAATTACTAGAGAACAAAATGGATACTAGACGAACAAGACATGCGAGTAGCATGCAAATTCGAGCTCGTTTTGTAGTTGTAGATTTTTTCATCGAACTAAGTACCCCTATTTAATTGAGTTATTTGTTTCCAGGCTTACTTGTACCCCTTCACTTCCAGGATGTTAAGTCACACCAGTGCCCTGGGAGCAACTTTTCTGGCACGAGGAACACAGGAGATATGGGCAAAAGAGGAATAACAAGCAACCATGGCTTGCAGCTGAGGGTGGGCAGCAGAGACCACTTACCAAAGGGCTAGCGGGTTAGAGTAGTTATGGCCGCCTGACAAAGAGGTGGATACGGCACGCCTCACCGATGACAGTGTAGATATGGCTTGCTCTTTCCAGTGGGGTATTAGATGCCTTACTCTTCACAATGGGGTAGATGCCAGGCAGCACGTTGATGCCACACACGCCATCCCCTCCCTGAATGTCCATGCGCATATGTCCCCTTTGGCCCCACTCCTCTCCCCAGGAGTTGCGGATGATCCAAAACGGAGGCGCAATGCGGTTCTGGCTGCCATCGTTTCTTGTGATGAAGTAGCCAATAACGAGTACAACATGGTTGAGACTGCCCGTGTAGCAACCAGGATCCTGGTATTTAAAAGTCTGAAGTGAGGTGGGGGCAGAACATTCACAAAGTGGGAGATAAAGAGTACATGCCAAGAGAGGAATGAAGCTGTAGAAGGGGATGCAGCATACCAATGTGATGGCATGCGTCTCTCTGTGAAAGTACATGACATCCAAGTGATGACCCTCAGCAAAAGGTAGGCAAAAGGTGATGCGAAGTGATGCCATCAAAGCGATGACCCTGAGTGTGAGTTGCAGCGACTCACCCCATCATACTGCATGAAGGTTGGAGCAGACGCCTCGACGTGAACCACCACTGGCTGCCGCTGCACTGCCAGCATGAGCCCCACATACCCCTTGAACTGCGCTCGCTCAAAAGCCTGCACCGGGTACGTTGTTGCCTGGGGCCACGAGATTGCAGCATTGTTGGATGGGAAAAGGTGGGGTGGGGGTTGGGAGTGAGATTGGAGAAGGCCTGGAGGTTGAAGGAGTTTTGAAACTAGGGAAGGGTACTTCAGCAGCCCCACCCGAGGAGGGACCACCAAAAAAGGAACAAGGCAAATGATGAGAAGCATAAAAACTAATCTCACACCACAACATAACGATGCCTCAGCAAATTAACAACGTATCTGTGGGCCTGAGACACCAATAAGAAAATTTGATAATCATACAATCAAAAACTCGCGTAGCTGGTTGGATGAGGTGGTTTCACTATACCATACCATACATACCATACCACGTCTACATGTTGTTTGCCCTATCATACCACGTCCATTGGCTGGGTGGATGAGGTGATACATACCATACCATATCACGTCCTCATGCTGTTCTACCTACAGGGTCGCTGGCACCAGGGAGCCCACTGGTGGCATCGAGAGCCACGAGCGTCTCAAGGGCGTGGGTGGGGGAGCCGCCAGCAGAGCACTTGTCGGAGTCGGAGAGCCCCATGAGGGTGAAGAGCGCCTCCACTGCCAGCCGGGGAGCGCTCTGCTGCTTTGCAATGCCGTATGCCGCCTCCACACTCGCCACCACCGCATACGCCCAGCACGCATCTGAGAGGTGGTAGAGCAAGAAAGGTGATGCAAAGAAGGGTGGAGTGATGAAGGACGGGGTTGAAATAGTTTCGTTTTAAAACTGGCTCGACTTGGTTGGGTGTAGATTCTCAACCAAGGGGGGTTACAATTCTCAACCTCTCCAACCTGATTAAACCTAAATTCTGACGATTTGGTTAAATTTTCCTGAGATATTCTATTCGCCCTTTGATCCCTCTTGATGTGTTTAAATTATGGCAGTGTGTGTGCCTTGCATGGATGGTCAATGGAGTTTGCTGCCTCGTACAATGCTGTGTGGACACGGTACAAACCACAACAGTGTTTGGCAATGAGCGCAGCATTAGACGACAACAATATACAAATGCAATTAACGGTACTTGAGAACTTCATTCTGCGGTCGATCACACTCATCGCAGAAAAGCAGCTCAGGTGCTGAACTGAAAACTCCCGGTTCTTTCCACACTGACTGCAGTCATTTTGGTTCTTGACAGGCCAGTTGAGGAAGGGCACGGAGTCCCACGTGTGGAAATCACGAATGCTCCACGAGTCCACTCTGGTGGCCGACAGCTTGAAGTCCGCACTGACATAGCGCGAAAAGGGACTGGCTCGAGTCGGTGCAAATGTGGACTCTGATAATGAGAGGCCGAGGGCTGTGAGGGGCGGGAAGGGTTGGACATAACGAGAGATGTGGATGAAGGTAGCAGTTGAGTTGAGAGGGATGGCGTGGTCTGGTATTAAAAGCACCTGTTTGTGCCTCCAAGAAGTCTGACATTTAATAACTTGAGCTACAATCGGTTCACAAAAAAATGGTGCTCAAGGTTCCCTAAGTACATCTATAATCCGCTAGAAAGGATAGGCGACAAAATTGAAGGCATTTCCCAGTGAGATCGGGTATGGTTGCGCCCTGGAGAATTGAATATCATAAATACCAACTTGTACACCGCCCTTCACTTCTTGAGCGACCCACAAGCTAAGTTATGGCAGTAGTAGCAAGCTAGGATTTTATGGCAGTGGGTGGGTGGTACTGCGCGTATCTCACTATCAACGGACCACGATGGCTTGGAATTTTTTTTTAAACAATCTTTGGATCGGAAACTGCGAGTAATCTAAACAATTGTTAAAGTTTTTCTGCAGGTTGCTTGCTACTAACCATCCCAGCTTCTAGTTGCCGCATGACAGGGAGCTCACCTTTCTCAAGAACGACCTGGACTTCCTTGGGTGAAGGAGCAACTGTCGAGATAGACACAAGAACGAGAAGCACAAAAGCCATAGAGTGCTGGTTGGGTCTTGGACAAGGAGAGCACACTATAAGGTAGGAGTGGCAAGATGATGCAAAAAGGCTACCAGTGTCATCATATCTAAAATGGCCTAGCTATGACAGGTGCCACCATCATCACCAGTACCCAGAAAAGCATCTCAAATAAACACCCCATCCTACTGTAATGTTTGAGTAATAAAATTAGGCATTGTTCAATCAGCATGAGCAATGATCAAGCCGAATTGGTTTGGGTGATCAAACCTTAAGATCAAACTGGCCAGGTGATCAAACCGAATGGGTTTGGGACGAACCATAAGATTTCAAGTTCGATTTAACACGTTATTAACTCACTACACTGCTTACACGGCTGAATTTTTTCAACTACTGTGGAATTTATGATTACGAAACAAAATAACCGTGCAAGTGAGATGGATTATTGAAGTTTGCTAGGAATGAAGTGAGAAGAAAGGGAACTCAAACGTGAGAAGACGTCACGTCAGTACCAGTCATAAACAACCTTGGCAGTCACCAGCATCCCACCTGCCCCAAAAAAGCCTTGCCTATTTGCACAGAGGAGAAGAGAATGCCATGCAGCTGGAAGGGCTTCACAGTGGTGGAGGCCACAAATCCAAACGAGAATGCCAGATGCTTCACCCCAGGCTGCAGCACCGCACACAACGACACATTCCTCTGCAGCAGCGGCTCCACTGGCTTCACGTTTGAGTTTGCCAGGAACACTTGAATGGTGCTGGGATCTCCAGGCTCGTAGTCCACCCACACAGTGTATGAATTGCCATCAGTGAAAGCGAACGGTGACACCTCCTTGACGAAGGGTTCCTCTGCACCATTGATGCTCAGCCCCACGTGCTGCTCGCCCGCATCATCCTGAAGCGTGTCAAATACCACGGCTATGCTCCTGGGTCCCACTCCACTATACCCCACACCACCAGGTTTTCCTGCCTTGGGCTTTGCCACGATTACAAATGCAAAGCCGCTGGACCAAGCAGTACCCGACTGGGGCATGAGAGCAAAGGTGAAGTTGACTCTGAAGGCCAACTCCAAGCCACATCCAAAGGTGGATACACCAGGTGGGTACGAAAACAGAGCCACAGGCTTCGCCACGAACTTTCCCACCGTCTCCTGCTGCGTGCCCTTGGTGAGCACTGTGAATGGTGGGAGAATATTTCCTTGGAAGCCTGAAGAGTTGCGAGGAAAGGGCAGCAGTGCATGGGGAAGGGTGGGAGTGGTGGAGAATCTGAACGTGTGTGCTAAGCTGTGCAGGTCAAATCATGTGGTCAACGCTATGAGGGTAAGATCTACTGATATGGTGTTTGTGCCTGCCGAAGGAGTTTTCGAGTGTGTGGTAGCTGAAATCCAACAGGCCCAACAACAGTGAACAACTTGCAGCAAAGCATGGGGTAACCAATGTGTGCAAACCAGAAAGTTGAGAAAATGTCTGTAAAGTGCATAATTCAAGGACCACAAAGAATTTGACGTGCAAAAACCCAGTGCTTTGACATTCTGAAATCATGTAAAAGTTCTTTATTACCAACTGAAATACAGGTGATTCCTCCAAGCTGCAAGAATCCTGCATCACACAGGCACGTTGGCACCAAACTAGGCCCATCTGGGTAGCACACGCCCCGACCACCACAGGCAGAAGCGGTTGGAGAGATGCCACAGAATGCCATGCACTGTGCTATGGGCCGCTGCATGGCAGGGCGGCAGGCTTTGGTTGGTGAGAAGCAGTTGGCGGCGATGTTGAGTCGACGGCAGTCTGGTGCAGACACAACACCCGACAGGTAGTTATCGGTCAAGTCCACTTCGGAGAATGGGAGATTCACCAGGGGGCCTGTGAGGTAGTTGCGGTGGAGATCACTGCAGGGGAGAGGTAGAAAAATAAAGATAGAGGAAGAGGACAACAAGGACGAGGGATCAATGGAGAGCAAGTGTCCAGACTAGCATCAAGAGGAGGGCATATGGCTCAAAGAAGAGGAGCAGAAGCCGGAGTCTTGCACTTTTTATATCATAGCTTTTCATTGTTGTACTTTTGTACGTGTGCTGTACTTGTGAGGATGTTGATTGCAATGGCGATTGAGCCAGTGAGTTCAATGGTTCAGTTTTCGACAATGACAAGGGAGAAGCGATACATGAGTAGGAATTAAGGCAGCGAGGCCTGACAGTAGAAAAAGGTTACTAAGTTGCATTGCCAATTTACCAAAATCTGACTCCAGCCAGCTCTCACACAGTCGGCCCTAGAAAGCAATGTGGCTTCACTCTACCTAACCAACCGGCACAGAGGTATTAGCCAGAGTCGTGTCAGAATCAGTTTGCTTTGTGCATGTCTGCAGACAGACACTGCCATGTATTGACCTGCACCAATAAACTTGGTCAAGGGCGAGGCAAGTTTATTGGGAAGTTCAATATATGGCCAACCTAATCTTGCTGTTCAAACAATTAAGCCAAGATTGGACCATCAACCATCCCTCCAGTTCAACCGAGTTATGGGCCCGAACTACGTTTGCGTGTCTCAATCTACACAAGAAATATATGTAGGATACATAGGTGAAGAGAATCTTACCAACACCTCAGTCTGCATATATTCAAAAGGCTTGGAAGAGAGAAGAGGACAATTCCTAAATTTGTCAGAGTGGAGCGCAAGTTCCAAGAGGCGAAGGAGAGCAGAATGAGATGTCAGCCAAATTTGCACAGAGGTTAAAATTGTGAATAGTGGTGGTACCATCCTGGACGAGGTCGCAAATGAAGCAGTGCCATTGCTCGACATGCTTGGAGCGGCCATGGAAGATGGTTGGACATATTCTTGTACACGTTTCTATATAGGCTATATACTCCAATGTATGTCCTTGTTAATATCACACCATTCTATACCTTGTGCCCGGCAAACCTGCAGCGAGAGGGAGGAGAGTAAATAGACAAGAGTAGTCAAGAGAGACGCGCATGAAGCAAGGGGGAAATGTAGCACAGAGGCCTTACCAAAAACAGAGCACGGGCAGGCACTGAAACCATCCGCTCCACTCTCTCTTCCCAGGAACGTGTCAGAATCAGTTCGCTGTTTATGCATGCATGTATGCAGACAGAACATTCCTAGCTTGCAATCCAGGTACAGCCAAGCAAAGGCTTACAGATGAGTCAGTTTTGCAAGGTTGCCGATTGCAGCAGGAATTGTGCCACTGAGCCGGTTATAAGAAAGTGACCTGCCACAATGAGCATAGGGCATGCGGCAAATACAGGAAGCTCAAGTTTGCATGGAATCTACAAGTTCTTACAGACTGTACCCAATCTATGTAGTTTATACACAAACATCACATGGAGGCAGCATGTTTTCATTATTATTTTCCGAGTACTGTGTGGTTTCATATTTGACCGAATACTGACCCAGAAACCAAATACGAATACGATTCGAACATTACTGAACCCAAGTCAAATCTGAATAACTGTCGAACGACAAATAATGTATCGGCAGTGTCGAACGGCTAATGCATGTTCGACACAGGGTGATACAATGTACCACATCATGGCGGAGAAGAAATTTGGCCCCAAAACAGGCCCGAACACGTTACAACACGATTCAATCCCGCACCACAGGCTTTCCCTAACCCCTCTCCAGCAACTATAATGCGCAAGGCATACGGCTTTTGAGAAGCCTCAAAACAAGCCATACGGCGACTAAAAGACCGATTACTCTAAGAAAATTCAAGAAGTTGGCTTCTTATAATCAAACATGAGAACGGAGGCATGTGGGGCGGGCATGAAGCGCAGAAAGGGAAACACAGCCAAGCAAAGGGGCTTACAGGTAATTCATGTTTGAAAGCTTGCCTATTGCAGTGGGAATTGCACCAGAGAGCTGATTGCTCGAAAGATCTCTGCCACGATGGGCGTGAACAGGCATGCGGTACATACACGAAGCTCAGGTTTGCATGGCAACGAGCAGCAGATAGGAAGAAGTAACTACAATCATAATGGGAGGCAAAATCCCTGAAATTGCAAACAAGTCGAGAATGGCAGAGTGATGGACAACGTCCACGGGAAGTGTGCTGATAACGGCAGGGGATAGATGAGGGCAGGAAAAGCGTGGAAAGTTGAATTTTGGTATGCACCAAGGCGTGTTAGCCACTTATAGAATGGCTACAGGGAAGAGGGCACGTGAGGGGCGAGCAGAGACCTTGAAGTAGAGCGCCTCGTCGACCTGGCTCTTCTTCCAGCCAGCACCCAGCAGCACACTGTCGAGAGCCCTGTACTACAGTAGCGGTGACTGCTTCAGCCCGTAGAGGCTCTTCAGTAGCTTGCATACCCGGCCGGTCCCGTCGTCGAAGTAGTCCGGCTGGTACATGTAGAGCACCCTGTCGAGCTTGCTCTGCAGGAAAGCGTTCTTCATGTCGAGCTGCATCAGGTTGAGGTCCAGAACGACGACGATGCTGAGGAAGATTCTCAGCGTGACGTAGCTGCTCACCGGCGAGTACGTCTCGTCGTATTCGGCACCGTACACCTGCGTGAAGCCCTTCACGACCAGCCTCGCCTTCTCGCGCTCGACGGTGTCGTCGATGCGGTACTTGGTCGTCAGCACCCACCGGTTCTTCATGATGTTCACCCCGCGTGGGCGTTCGACCAGCTCCCAAGTCCCCATGCCGATGAGACTGCGGATCTCTTCTTCCATGGCGGCCTTCACCGCCTCGCCCTTCCTGCTCGACAGCGCCTCCTTCACCGTCATCATGGCGATGTCCCAGCGGCGTTCGGGGTCGGCATGCACGTCAGGGTCGAGCTCCGGCAGGTCTTCATCCTCCTCGGCGTCGTCGTGCAACAGATCGTCGTCGACCTCGTCGAACACCGTGGTGAAGGCAGCTGGCGGTAGGCAGGCGTGGAAGCTCAGCCGCTCCGGTGGCCGTCGAGCTCGACCTGTGCGTCGCAGCTCAGGCTTCCTGATCGGCACTTCCACCACGTCGCTGTCGGTGGACTCCTCACCCGCCGACTGCTCCCCTTCCTCATCGACATCCTCGTCGTCGACCAGCTGCTTCGACCCGTCGACCAGCTGCTTCGACCCGTCGACCGGCTGCTCGCCCGCTGTTGACTTCGACAGCTCCCCTGTCGACCGCCCCGGCTGCTGCTCCCCTGTCGGCTGCACCGCTGCTATAGCCTCCTGTTCGACCGGCTCCCCTGGCTACTGCCCTGTCGTCGACGGCTTCCCATCCTGGTCGACGAGCTTGGCGCCTTGTCGACCGCCGGCGATGTCATGGGTCGGCGCCACAGGCGGCGCCTCAAGGCTCCCCTCATCGCCGGTGGCCGACACAGGTGTCGAAGCGGGTCGATCTGCGACGGGAGAGGGAGGAGCAAGAATAGGGGGAAGTGGAAGAACCGCCACAACATCCTCATCAGCAGGCTCGTCGACGTCGGCGAGCAGTGGAACCGTTGCCGTCGAGGTGGCCGTCGGCGGGTGCGCCTGCGTCCGCTCCGACGCCGGCCCATACTTCGCCTTCCACACCTCCAGCGACAGCGTCTCGTAGAAGATCACCTCGACCGACGTGACCACCTTGTTGTCGGTCAGGTCGAGCACCTCCCAGCCCTTGCTCTCAGGCGACACACCCAGGTGAAGCCCCCAACGAGCCTTCGGCGCCAGCTTCCCACCGCGCTGCTGCTCGGGAACCATGAACTGCACCATGCAGCCCCACACCCCGCTAGCGTAAGGTCGGGCCTCTGCCCGGTCAGCAGCTGGTACGGAGTCGTTCCCGGCGGCGTCGCCGACCGCTCCAAGCAGTTGCGCACCCAGACCGCTTGTCGTAGAGCAAGGTGCCACCAGTGATGCTGCACGCCCATGTGCAGCAGCATCGTCCGCACGGACTCGACGACCGTGCGCATCTCCCGCTCAGCCATGCCATTCTGTTGCGGAGTGTAGGGGCACATCAGGTCGTGGACGATGCCCTTCCCGGCGACGAAGTCGGTGAACGCCTTCCCGAGGAATTCCCCTCCTCGATCGGAGCGAAGCGACAGGACCGACTTCTTCGTCTGTCGTTCCACAAGCACCAGCCACTTCTCGAACTCCCGCAGCACGTCGCTCTTCTTAGCGACCGGCATTGCCCACACGAATCGAGTATGGCGATCCTTCAGCAGTAGGAAGTACAAGCTGCCATCCTTGGCAGCCACCCAAAATGGCCCGCACAAGTCAATGTGCACGACAGCCAGCGCCTCCGCTGCATTCGAGCCCTTGGCGGGGAAGGTGTGCCGCGCCAGCTTTCCTCCGACGCACGAGACACACGGCGGGTCTGCTCCGGTTGACGACGTGATGTCGAGCCCAGTAGCAACATCATGCTTCGCCGAGCTCTTGATTGTGTCGACGCTGACGTGTGCGAGCCGCGCATGCATCCTATCGGGGGTCGTCTTCGTCGCCGAGACGATCGTTCGCAGAGCCACCACCTCGGTCGACTGCGACTACGTCAAGCAGGGGCGAAGGTCGGTGCAGAGGACTCGTCCAGTGTAGCGTGCTCGACCGAGCACCTCCCCGGTCGCGGCGACGAGCAGCATCCCGTCGCCATCGCCCTGCAGCAGCACTCCGCTCTCCTTCAGCTGGCCAGCAGACAACAGGTTTGCCTATACGCCCGGAACGTAGAGTACGTC